TGTAATACCGCAGTGACCCAGAAGAGTGAATATAGATCCTTGAGTTCCTGTCTATATGTAAAGCTGTGTTTATAGTAAAAGCAACAGAGACCCAGAATTTGGATAGTTCGTACCAGGGAACAATAAAAGTTTTTGCAATGATGTTCTGGAAGGGGAATTAAAAGTGCTTGTCACAGTACTAAAATAAGCTACCCTGATAGGGTATTTCCAAAATAACAGAAATGTCACTGTTTAGAGACACACATATTTCTTCCCTCTGTATTTGGGGACATTTCATGAGGAAGCACGTAGCACAGTGGTCACAGGATGGGAGTAAGGATTATCAGAAAAACTACAATGAAACTAAAAACCATTAATAAAATAATTGTAAACAGCGGGGATGGGGGATAAAGACAAGGAACTAAAAATCTCAGTATCAAAAAACACTCTTGTCAGGTTAAACAAATAATTGTAAAAATTGCTTGGGAAGAGGTATTGAACTAGTCTGAAGCTGCCTCTATTCTTTGCTCCTCTTCATGTATAGAACAAATTCAGCTTGAATCCTTACTATGTGAAATTATTATGTTTTTGGAAAATTCAAGAAGGACTTAACTATCCTAACCCATTGCCGTCACAATGGGTTTTTTTTTTTTTTTTTTTTAAAGAACTATCCTAAAGAGGCTTCCAAATGAGTAAATCCATCTGCACGAAGAACATCACAATAATGCTGCCGTTTGAAGCTATGCTGAGAAGTACCACATGGGTACTTGATCAGAAAGGGCTGGTTCATGTTCAGCAGCTTCTTTGGAAGGAGATAGAAGGTTAACATGCACCTTTGACTTCACTCTGGCAGGGCAGATAAACCTCTCTAAATCGGGATCATGGGACCTCAAGCAGTTACCTTTTATCATGTTGGTGTCAAATAACAGTTCTCACTATAAATAACCAGCAGTCTGTGGGTTTAAGTTGCTGTTTCTTGAGAATAGTTCAATATCCTCCCATCTTCGGTATGCAAATTATATTCTTCTACCTACCTATGAAATTCATTAGGGCGTGGAATTAAATGTTAATCTGAGAAAGGATGTAAAATGCAAACAAACTCCAGACCTTACTTTAAATCAGCCAGCTTCTCAAAAAGAAGATTGGCCTTCGGGAGTTATGACCTAACCTTTTTTCCTTGGGCTTCAGTGGCTTGGTTAATCAAAATCTTTGTTTTTCTTAGTCATTAAATTCAAATTCTAAATGAATTTCTGTATCCAGATTACAAAGCATTAATTTTGTTCTAATTTTCACGTATGCCAGACAGTCCGTGTCCAAATGCTGTTTATAAAGCATCTCCATTGCCTGTTTCCTTGGTAATTGGAATGACTGGCTCTCACTCATTATTTTTCAGAGACTTGAATTGTTGACACTGCTGTGTCAGTGTGAGATAAGGAAAGCTTAGCGATTTCTTTTGTTTAGAGTCTTATTATTTACTTGTAGTACCTGAAGGTCAATGACTGCTAAAGCAGGGGTGGATTAGACTGAAATACAGAAAGCAGAAAGGCATAAATTGGAAAAGACCCACAGTGGCACTATTTAATTCTACCCAATTAAAAACATGTAGGAAGATTTACCCCATAAGACTATAAAAATGGAACTAAAATATCTTCCACGCTTAGTGTAGTGATAAAGAGTGTTTTGCAGCTTACTAAGCCGCATGACCTTAGGCTTTGGAAAGTCATTTTTCTCATCCCTAAATTTGAGGGTGGGTGAGCATTAAATGATCGCCAAGTCCATTTTCGGTATGATAATTCTGTGGTTTCTAGACAACTTCACATAACTAATCCACAATAGTATAATTTACAAAATTTCTATTACCTGTAACAAAATTACATTGAAGTTCAAAGTTATTAGCCTATAATTCCTTTCAAATTTCTTTTCACAGTTTTGCTAATACATTTTACTTAATTTAAATAACAAGACTAAAAGAACTAGTCTTTGACATCATTTGTATCAGCAACACAATACTTACATGAACATTTCTTCAGAGACCTCATACAATTTTGACTTATATTTTTTAATGTTGGTCACTCACCACCACCACACCTCACGCGTTGCCATCGAGTTGATCCTGACTCATAGTAGCCCTGTGGGAGACAGTAGAACGGCCCCATAGGGTTTCCAAGGAGGCTGGTGGATTTGAACAGCTGACCTCTTGGTTAGCAGCTAAGCTCTTAACCACTGTGCCACCAGCGCTCATAGAATTTAACTCCAGACCTTGCCTTTGCAAATCATGTTAAAAATCACTGTAAAATAAGTGCCATATTCTGATCATTGAAGCCATTTTGAAGATAGAAACTTCTATCTAGAAACTTCTATCTGGTATTTTGTCGTTTTTCTGTTTTTAAATCCTGGTTAGACGTCACAGTCCTTTTCCTTCATCAAGGACCTTCGTGATCTGGGGTCTAGGAAGAAGAAATTTAATATAAAAGTTCAGATATAAAATATGTAAGACCCTAGCATCTTGTGTCTGAGAAAACAAAGTTCCTGGTACACCACTGACACTTGGCGAATGCCACTTTCTTTTTGCCCCCTTTTGTGTGCGTGTGTTTGTGTATTTACATTTGCACGGTCAGCAGTTCGAATCCAGCAGGTGGTCCTTGGAAACTCTATGAGGTGTTCTACTCTGTCCTATAGGGTCACTGTAAGTCGAAATTGACTCGATGGCAATGGTTGTTGGTTTTTTTTTTTTTTTTTTTTTCCCATTTGCTAGCAGTATGAGGTAGTTAAGAGCACCAACTATGGAGACAGATACCAGCTCTACTACCTTGCCCACGTTGTTCAACCTCACTGAGACGTGAGCATTAATGAGGATAAGGTCTATCTCATAAAGTTTTTATGTGAAGATTAAATGAGATAACTGTGTAAAAGACCTGGCACAGGAAATAATGGTAGCTGTTAGGACTATTCACGTGTACCAGGCAATTACAGTTCACTTTATCTGTTCTTTACTACAGTCTGTGAAATGGTTTATTATCTCCATTTTACAAGGGTAGGACTTGAAAAATCTCTATTAGTTTTACCCAGTTCTTCAACCAAACCGTGCTGCTTTCAGTTTATGAATGAGGTCTTTATCACTTTTATGTCTGTTCTTAGCCTGACTGCTCTGTCTAAAGCAACCTTCCCACATCCTCCCATGGGACTTAAAAAGAGGTATTTCTCTCTCCTGCCTTTGAAATTCCATAACCCCTCACTTCTTACAAGGGTGAGAACTCCTAGAGGGCAGGAGACTTACCTTCATAATCTTTGTGACCCCCGAAACTCCTAGCACAGTGCATTCCACAATTCATTCTGAATTTGGTCATAAATTATAAATAAATCATTGGCAGTTGTAAAAACAGCTTGGGGGCAGTGTCTGACCTCGTCCAACTTCATGAGGGGGAAGGAGAATCGAGATCAACAGTCCAAGGCTGATTCCTCTGTGGGGGTGGGGTGGATCAGATATGCCTCCTCTCGCCACCATCTTTACCAATTCTGACACCAACGGTCCCTCCCACAGCACTCTCTGCTGGGTTCAGTATTCATTGCAGTGGCCACACAGAACTCAGAGAGCATACTCACAATTATGGGGTTTATTAGGGAAGTAACAGTTACAGTTCAGGCTCAAGAACACTCAGGATATAGTTCCTCCATCACGATAGCCTCCCCCAGCTGTGCTCGCAGCCAAGCCTCTCCCTGGCCCGCAGTCTCTGCCCAAAAGCACTCAGCTTTCTCTCTGTGTGGACTAGGAAGTCCACTGTGTTGTCTCCTGCTGCTGCTCTTTCCTTCCTTGGTGGTGAATTCTCCTCTCTGCTCTGGAACTGGCTTTCTTTTAAGGCAAAACTGACTGTACCCTTGGTAGGCCACAATTACCTTTCACACAATCACCTGGGTGGAAGTTACAAGACCATGGCTAGAAAGGCCACACACAAAAGTAATTAATCCCATCACAGCAGTTCTCTTGTTCTTCTTGGAGTGATTTTTTAGTCTGGTTAATTTGTTTTGGAAACTTAACATAACCACTGAAGGGAGGTATTGAGCTGATGGGAGTGTGATTTTTAGAGGAAATGGGTTGTTTTTACAATGTTGTTTTAAAGAATAGTGCTGTAATAAAAGCACCGAATAATTCCATTAAAAGTTATTTTGCTTTCAGTCTCATTTCAGGGACTTCTATGAGACTATCTATCCATAGTACTCATCTAATGATAAGATGCATTTTTTCGGTTATGTATTAACTCTTAGTCAATTTCTGTTTAAAGCAGGGAGACTCAAATTTGTGCAGAATCTACAAAACCAACATCTCAAAAGAGATTTCCTGAAATTTTGGTCTGAAAGTTGGTGGGTGGTTATTATATTAGGCTTGGATGTATTAGAGACAAACTGTAAGAGAAAATTGGAAAGAACTACCTTATTGACCTCTGTGAGTGTCAGATGATAAACAGGGTTTTTGGATGGCATTAGCACTTCATCATAAATCAGAAATGATACCAAGTAACATTTGTGATTTATCAACTTTTGTTTACCTTGGAAAAGTACATTTAGGATCAAGTTTGTTTTTCCGCCATTTTGAAAGAAAATGCAGGAAACTAGAAATTGCTATATATTCAGCAAACAGCTGTTCCCTTTGTTAGCCTTTAGAAAGGCAAGTGTGTCATGAATAAGAATAATAATTACTACTTTGAAATTGAGGATTGGTATGGTTTCTTTTAATCTACCACATCTGATTGAAGACTAACAGGATGTTCTCTGTCCATGCATAACAATAGGAGGTAACTCACGTTGTAAGTGGACTAAGTAACAAGGACAGTTATTAGGAAGATGTCACGTGTATCCAGACAGCAGGAAAAGATGATCATTTACTTACTGTTCTGTATACTTTTGGAGAACTTAGCATTAAGTGGATCATTCGTATAGTGCATGTAATTATTTGTCAAGGAGTTCATGTGTTTGAGAACAAAAGTATCCTTATCAAAAATAATCCTTCATCCTTTTCCCTAAAGGAACTTGTGGAGTACTACAAGCATCACTCTCTTAAAGAAGGGTTCAGAACCTTAGACACGACTCTACAATTTCCATACAAGGAAACAGAACATTCAGCTGGACAGAAGAGTAGTAGAGCAGGCAACAACTGTGAGTATCGTCATTTAAAATACAATTTGCTGTCACTTAAGGATTGGAGGTACAATAACATTGAACCTCTTCATGCCAAATTTTGAAATATAACCAGTTAATATGGTGATGCGTTTAGCAAGGACTTTTTATCTGGAGCTAAGCAGAATCAGATGGACCAACAGGTTTATGAACATATCTAGTTATATTCCTTGTGCCAAATTAAAAATCATGTTTTGCTCATAAACCCATCAGAAATGTGCAGGGTATGTTAATTTGCAAGCTTTGTACTTTTCACTGACTTTTATATTGGCCAAACTCTAACTTACACATAATGTTTGTGGTCATAATGCTATTTGAGTAACAGTATCTAAGCATGGATGATGCACAGCTCTCCAGTCTAGCCTGGTATCTCAAATCTGTTTAAGATGCAATTTCAATGATTACTTTAGGAATTTTGAAATGACTAAAAGCATGTTTTCTCTGATGTCAGTAAATTACTAGCCAGCCATTTCTAACTTTATACATTAGCCACTTTCTCTCTGAGTGAGCACTGTGCCACAACTAATCATAAAAGATTAGCACACAAACAAAATCAGGTCATAATTTGAATGTGAATTCAAGTCAAAAACTTTTCTCTCATCACCGTTTAATGTCATGGAATCTTTCTGGAGGTAAATACATCAGGTAAAGGGAACACTGTGATGAAACATGCCATGAAGGAAATGTGATTTCATTCCCTTATTTTGATATCTTTTTTTATTTAAAAAAAAAAAACTGTCTTGGCGGGTAAATGAAGACAATTTCATTATTCTTAGAATCTTTAGTTTTTAAAAAAATTAGAATACGTAGAGGTATTTGAAAAATGTTTGTATCAGTGTAAGGTAACTTTTTTCTCCCTAAAAGCAAAAAGTGAAAGGGAAACAGGTAATATACTCAAGGCTCCAACAACATCAATAAAATTCCACACACTTACAATATAAGTAAATATACAAGTAATTTGTCACATCAGCTGACAGGTTTTTTTTTTTTTTTTTTTTTAATTTGAATAACCTAATAGCTGTTCTCCTCACAGGAATTGGTGATAAATGCCCCGGCCAATGTAATGAAAGCAGGAAGAGCACACTTTCTGTTGAAAGTTTAGATTTATATTTCTATTTTTAGCACAATAGTACCCAACCCTCTAAGATTCTTATACAGGCCATAATTTTTGCTTAGTCAAAAATGGAAGTTTTCCCTCAAAAAACATATTTTCTACAAATTTTGTAAAAGTCTACCAAAGTTATGACTTCTTTCCTTGCAAGAAGTGTATAATTTGCAACTGCCTCTTCTTTGCCTTCTCACCACCAGGGAATAATAAAACTCGCCACGGTGGTCAGTTATACTATAAATTCTGTTTGAGCTGTTCACTTAGTTCTAGAAAACCAAGGAGGTGTTTGGGAAGAGGCAGGGATCCGCACAAGAGCAGGTGTGCCATATAAGGTGGGAATCTCATTAGCCTTCACGTTTCACTACCTGGTTTACTCCCAGACACTTTGTCTCAGTGCCTGGCATATGTAGGTGCTCAGAGAATGTTGTCTAGTGATGAATGAAATGGCTGAATTTCAAAGTTGTCTCTAGTGTTTAATGACATATTTAATGTTCAGAGTCATCTGGACACTAAGAAGGAAATTACAAGCCTTTTTTTTTTTTTTTTAAGCATGGTCAATAGAATGATTCTGAACATCTGTGCTAGCTGCAGGGAAATTTTTGAAGATATAATGATCTTACCAGTTCAAACATCCTACCCAATCTTTTTAAGAGACTCTGGCAACTTAAGTCATGTCACAAAAACCCTCTGGTAATTGAAAAGGAAAAGCAAATCATTTAAAATTTAACATGTGTTATAGTCTTGTTTTGTCCATTATTTAATCACTTATTCAACAAAGATAATGTCAAATACCCAACACTTGGCCAGGAAGGCACTGTTCTAGAAACTGGGAGACAGTAGTTAAGAAGATAAAGTTTCTACCCTTATGAGCTTGAGTCCCTGGGTAGTGCAAATGCTTAACCCACTCTGCTGCTAGCCAAAAGGCTGGTTGTTCGAGTCTACCCAGAGGTGCTTTGGAAGAAAGGCCTGGTTATCTACTTCCAAAAATTAGCCATTGAAAACCTTATGGAGCACAGCTCTACTCTGACACACATAGGGTTGCCATGAGTCAGAATGGACTCCATAGCAACGGGTTGATTTATGGAGCTTACATTTTAATGGGAAGACTCAGGCGAGTCTGGGTTGGGGAAGTTTAGTATCTTTACATTTGTTGGTCAAGGAAGATCTCATTCAAAAAGTAACCTGAAGGAAATGAGAAAAGTGAGTTACAGCAGCAATTTTTGCACAGTGGTTGATGTTCCAAGATTATTCCATCAATACCACGCAGAAGGGTTAAAATCTTAGATAAAATTTATGATACTGCCCCAATGTTTTATTTACTTTATGCTGACTTTCTATAAAATACAAAGAACACTAGAGAATTAAACAAGATGCTGTATGTAAAGCACTTAGCCCAGTGGCTGTACATGATACCAAAAACAAACCCATAGCTGTTGAATTGATTCTCACTCATGGGGCTGTATGTGATAAATAGTGTCCAGAATGTCTTTATACAGGATCATCTTGTGACTTCCTAGTCCTTACCAACAGATCAGAGCTCTGGGTGTGCTGCTAAATATAATCTAAAAAATAAGTTTTACTGGAAAGCACCATCTTGGGCTTCGGGATTGAGAGGACACTGACTTGCCCCATTACCTCTAAAAGGCCTTGGAGGAGCAGAGCAGACAGGCTAAAGGCCAGGATTATTCTCTCTCCTGGGAAGGGATTGAGAATGGAGCTCTAACCCTTGAAACCTGCTCTTTATTATTATTTTTTTCTTAAATAATATCATCACCCTGGCAAAGAAAGTACTGGGGCATTATAGAGGCTGATTGCCTCTGTATTAGCCCAGATTAGAATGTTTTGGGGAAGATAACCAACTATTTTTCAAGTTTGTAAAATACCATGAGATTATGACAGAACTACCTCATGCAAATGCAAACTAATACACAGATACTGATTAGAATTAAACATGGGCCCAGAATATCGGGCAAGGAGCACAGCATTTCTAGATTAGGGGCCATTGTAGGTAAGGCTGTCTTCCAGGGTGATGGGATTTTTATGCCTGCCTTTGGAATGATTAAGAATGTTTCTGTAAGAGAAAAGGAGGAAGAAAGAGAAAAGAACAAAGAGCTCAGGCATAGCAGTGAGCTCTTGTGCTTCGTCTAAAAATTGCTGTGGCTTCATGGAAGGTGTCCTGCGCTGTTCTGTGGGTCTGTAAGAATTACTTTCCAAAAATGGTCACAGCAAACCTAACAGACTGCTTTAGGTGTACCTTTAGGGCTTGTATATTTGAAAGGCACAGAATTGACTTTTGCCTTTCTTGCTCTACAACGAGCACTTAATTATTTTCAGGTCTGCCACTGAGTAGCTTTCTGACCTCAGGCAAGTCTCTTAGCCTGTCTGAGCCTCAGCTTTCTCACCTGATGAATGAGGAATGGGATTAGATATTATATTCTTTTAAAACTAGCGTCCTGGCTTACTTTCTTGTTGTAAATGAGAGGAGGAAGTGAGGTAGACTGTTAATTGGAAACCTGCATGGCGTAGTGGTTAAGTGCTACCTACGGCTGCTAACCAAAAGGTCGGTAGTTCAAATCCACCAGAATAGACCTAGGAAAATAGACCCTGGGAAAAGTTACACGGTTAGCTATTCTGTGACCCATAAGCAGATGTTATACATTTTCCCAAGTTCTTATTTATGGGAAATCAGTTGGGCTACAGAATAGAGTTTTTTCTTTGTTTTGTTTTTAAGTTTTGGCTATCATGATGTTTACATAATCTCAGTGTATTGTCCCACAAGAATTTACTAGTTTCAAAAGGAAAAATAGTAATACCTTAACCAAGTGATCAAAGTAAATATCACCAATAATGGGACAAATCTAATATGATGCCCTGAGATGGACACAGCACTGCTTTGGTGGTGTTCCTGCCCCAAAATGCAGAATTTAAATCTAACCACAAGGAAACATCAGCCAAACCCAAACTGAAGGACATTCTAAAAAATAACTGGCCTGTACTTTAGAAAAATACCAAGGTCATGAGAGCAACAGCTTCATATTAAAGGAGACTGAAGACGCATGCCAATTAAAGGAAACTCCATTGGATCCTAGACTAGGAAAAAAAAATGTGTGTGTGTGTGTATATATATATATATGTATGTATGTATGTATAAAGAACTTGAGTGGAACAATTAACAAATTTTGAGTAAGTTTTTTCGATTAAGCAGAAGTATTGTATCAGTGCTGATTTTCTCCTTTTGATACTTTTATGTGGTTATCTGAGAGAAGAGAATGTGTTTGTCTTTAGGAAACACACTCTGAAGTACTTAAATGTAAAGGGCATTATGTCTGCAACTTATTCTCAAATGGTTGAGGACAAAAATACAGACAGATTGGTAGAGAAAACACTGTAAATATTAACATTTGGGGAGTTTGAGTGAAAAGTATATGGGGATTCTTTGTAACTATTCTTGTTACTTTAAGTCTGAATTATTTCTCAAGAAAAAGTTTTTAAAATATAGAGATGATCCTATTAGTTGGATCCAAAAAACCCATTGTCACTGAGCTGATTCCAACTCATAGCAACCCTATAGGACAGAGGAGAACTGCCCCATAGGGTTTCCAAGGAGCGGCTGATAGATTTGAACTGCTGACCTTTTGGTTAGCAGCCAAGCTCTTAACCACTGAGTTACTAGGGCTCAGTAGGTCTAACAAAATTGGGAGAAAGTGACCAAGTCCTCCCTTTTCACCTGCTGCAGAAGCAGGAGGAGCTTGGCACACTGCCCTGGAGGCACAGTGGTTAAGCGTTCGGCTGCTAACCAAAAAGTCCGTAGTTTAAATCCACCAGCCGCTCCTTGGAATCCTATGGGGTGGTTCTGCTCTGTCCTATAGGG